TATTTATGGATTTTTCCACTTTATTAGACATATTTGAATTTATGCGACTTATAGGGTGGTGCGACGTGTACGGCGGAAAATACGATACATACAACTTACAAAATCCACCAATAAAGGAATATATGAAGTAAAAACCTTCTGAGGTGTACATTCACACAGTCCATGTGTGTAGTATCAATTTAAATAATAACTTGAGGCGATAAAGACAAATGTAAATGTTTTTAACCTGACAAAGTGTTCACGCACATAAGGATGAGCATGCACCCCCTGCCTCCCACCCTCAGTAGCATCAGCAGCTCTCACAAGTTGTTGGCTGTGCTTGCTTCTTGAACACGTAGAACTGGCTGAACAGAATCATACCTCCTACCCTCTTTCACTCCTTCCACTGTAGCTCTCTGCCTCTTTCTTTTTTGTGCACTTTTTAATACGAACGTGACTAAACTGCTGCTTCAGCATGTCTTTGAACCTTCTCAAATGAAATGACAGCCTGTCTTCTCTTGACACAGCCTGCTTAGCCAGATCAGCTGTAGAAGTTCATTAAACTGTATGTAGAGAACTGTACTCGTTGAGGAAACGCTCATCCTGCCATGGCAAAGGCTCATGGGAGTTGAACATGAAACTTCGCGCTGCTCTCTTAAGGATTAAGGCCGTCTTTTGGCGCTTCCCTGCAGATGACTGAGCTATGGAGCAAATTCTTCAGCACAGAAGGAAAACAAAACAAGCTAAACTCTTCACTCGCTTCACGTCGTTGCTTTGGCTGGAGGCGTGTCTCGTTTGACCGCATGCAGCACCAGATCTTTGCTTTTCACTTACCATAGCTACAGTTAGGCCTGTCACGATAACAACTTTTGCTGGGCCATTAATTGTCTCAGAAATTATTGCAATAAACAATAATATTGTTTGAAATTTGACAATTATTAATTGTCAAATTTTATAAGAACTGTTGGTTAATTTGTTGTGTGTAGTACCTTTTTTTTGACCACTAGATGGCAGTATAAGGCTGTTTGAACCAAAGGATGGATAGTGAGGGTGCCAACGGTGTGTCTCTTTAAGAAAAATGGGAGAGAGGCCCCTTGACGTGACATGGGCTGTCTCTCTTGGGTTCTCAAAATGGCGGACGCTCTGTGTGGTTTGAGCTCTTTAGCATAGCATTTGTCACACAAACCTTTTAATAAAAAAGCAGTAAACAAGTTCTCAGCTTCTTTTTGCAGAGAAAAACAACTTTTTACACGAAGGTCTGGGTTACAACCGGGGATTTTTGGAGCTTTGACAAGACAGAGTTTTTTTCCCCGAGGTCGGCCTGTTAGCTTAGCTCGTAGCTTAGCTGCTTTTAATGATCCAAAAACGTGATTTTTGGATGGTTCAAATGGATTTTAAAGATAAAAGGAGGGGTCATAGAAGAGCACCAGAGTTGAGCCTTTTTTCATCCAGTGTCCAGTAGAAAGACAGAGACACGAGGAAACGTTAAAGCCGATAAATGAGGTCGATAATTTTCATTTATCATGCGATTAATTGATTTATTGTTTATTGCGACAGGCCTAGCTACAATTACAATAACTAGTCTGATACTTTAACATTGCTGAACTACTTTGGGGGTAATCTGTAAAGTATTTTTGTTTCTGGTAGATTTTTACTGCATAACTTTAAGCAGTTTAAACAAATTCCTCTAATAAAAGTCCCCCAAAAATTTGCATCTACGGTAGTTTAGAGCCAACACGAGTCCTTTGTGCTTGAAGAATATTTTAATATTTTATTTTAAAAAAATAACAAAAAAAGTCTGTTTGACTGTGAAGGAGTTGGTTCTCTACATACCGGTACTCTTAACAGGTTAGAATAGGTTTGTTGGGTGGCTGGATGGTGGGACCATTATAGTCCAGTAGCTAACCGTCTTTATCTTCCTTCCCAATTCCTTTTTTCCCACCAACGAGTAGACGTCTATTTGATAGACTGTTGTAGCCAAGCTCAGTAGAGTAGCTTGTAGTTTTCTATTTATGCTAAGTTCTCTTGCCTCACAAAGAGCCTCCAGCACCGTAGCAAGGCCTGCCTCCTGTAGCCATTTTTGAATTGATTTATTTTTATTTAAATCTGGACTGTATTCATCTTTGCCTGTCAGGAATGGTCCCATCCGTCAGCCGGTGAAATAACTCCGAGGTCAGTTGTTGCAAACCCGGCGTCTCTGTCCTTGCTCGTCAGGGGCCTGTCGGCAGCAGCCAGAGGTCTGACACGGTCACTCTTCTGCTTTCCTGCAGGTGGACAAACTCGAAGCCTCAGAGTCTCTGAGGAAACAGGAGGAGCAGGCCACAGAGTCTCAACCCATTGTTTACGGTAAGGAGTCCACACCGTCCTTTCAGCCCTAACGTGTTCTGAGCTGTTTCCAGCTGATTGTTTTGGTGCTTGTTTCAGGCACGCCCCAGCTCATGCTCACAGCTGGGCCCAACATGGCTGTGCCTCCTCAGCAGACCTACAGCTACGGCTACACGGCAGCACCAGCCTACAACCAGCCGCCACAGCCCAACTTTGGTTACAGCATGTGAACCCCCGCCCCCCCCACACACACTATGTGAACAAGCCCCTTCCTCCAGTCTGTGTTCCTCACCAGCTTCCCGTGGTCTCCTGCTCACAGCAGAGCCACAAACGAGCAGCAGCCCACGGTGGTTTCCAACACTTTTTATTACGTTGTTGTCGCGTTACAACATAAATTATTTGACAACAATGAAGGACTTTAATTTGCACTGTTAAAAGCTTTTGACCATGGTTTTTTTTTTTACATTCCATATTTATGACTTATTTAGTTCAATCTTGTTTGATGTTAATATTGTTTTTATTGGTTTGTGCAGAAGTGGACTTGCTACAACTCAGCAATGAACCTTTTGAAGTAGGTGGAGGAGCTTTGGATTTTGCACTCGTGAAATTAATGTAGAAAGCTCTTACGTTTGAACGGCCTCCCTTGTCTGTAAAATGCATTTCATTAATGTACATTCTGAAGAGAAAATACTGAGCTTACATAGAATATTGAACATATATTGCCACTTCAGTGGCTATAGCTATGAACACTAAGTAATGATAGTATATTCTGCACAGGTGTGTAGCTGTCTGGGGTTTCAGATGTGTGCAGATGTGTCAGTGTGAATGTGTGTGTGACCTAAAGGTCTAAATAAGAGTTTAACCCTCCTCCGCAGCCTGTACAGGTCTGTTCACTCCATCCTCCTAGATATCGGCTCTTCTTTGGCTCCATGTGTTCAGGTGACCTCTCGTGCTGTGTACAGTGCTTGTGTGAGACTGTATCTGTGTATATGCAAGAAAAAAAACCTTCCCAGGGTCCTTCACCACACCGTGTGTTTGTATGAGTGTATTACTCTGAATCCTCCTCGTGCTGAGATCTGTGTATGCCAGGTGATGTGCTGTTTCTTTTGGTCACCCCTTTTTTTTTTTTGTATTTTGATTTTTTTTTTTTTTGATTTTTGCGTGTGTACAGATATAAGGAATTTAAAACTTGTAGATGGAGACCCATCCACACCCTCCCTGTCTCCTAAACCCTGCCCCTGTCCGGTGTGCTCCTCTTGTTGAAGCTAGAATAAACGGAGGTGGAGGACAGGCTTGTGGACCGTTCTGAAGCTTGATGATCCATCAACACTCCTGAAGTCCTGTGGCTCCTGTTTAGATGGTTATTAGAACGAGCTGGGTCTCTGAACATCCAGTTTGGTCTGGAATAGGAGGCTGTTATTTACCTTGATGTACCCAACTCCCTTACATGCTCTAATCTGTGTGTGTAAAGTGTCATTCTAATCTGAACATGGGATTAATTCCTTTCTGTTCTGCAAATTAACAAGAAAGGAGGTCTTGTCACTGGGACATGAAGAACATGACTAAACTGAAAAGAAAATACTATCCTAAGTTTAAAACATAATAAAAAAAAAAGTAGTTGCCATCTTCCTGTGTCTGTGTGAAATGGTGTACCAGTGTCCGTTGTTTCTGCAGTATGTGCATACAAGACGTGCTACAAAGCTAATAAAAACAAGTGTCTGCTCAAACGCTCATAAATATGTGAAAGTGTTGCTTGAACCTTTAATATTTTTTCCGAAGATGAAATGTCTTTGAAGAACTAAAACTTGTCTAAAGCATCTTCTGGGCCTTGCGCTTCACTGCAGAGTAGTATTTTTCACCGATTCCTGTTGCTCTGCAGATTCACAAGCACATCGTAACGTTAATGACGTCATACAGACCGCCGGACTGTCTCCACCCGTTGGCTCATACTTACTTGAGCTCCAGCAGCTTCTTCTCTTTGATCTCTTGAAGACACAGGCGTCTCTGCCGGTTCTTCTCAAGCAGCCGATCAGCCTCCTGAAAGGATTCTCTGCGCTTGGCGATGGCAGACAGCTCCTGTTCCTTTATCTGCTGGCGGACGGTCTCTGAGTGACGGAAGGCTTTCTGAAGCTTCCTCTCCTTTTGCTCTCTCTCCTTGGCTATAGCTTCTTGTTGAACCCTGGGCGGAAAGGTACTTGGGGTAGTCTACGTGATACTCGACTAGATACCCACTAGAAAAGCTTTTCCGTATACCCACTTAAAAGTGCCCAATGATTCATATCATTAGGCACTTTTAAGTGCGTATACTAAAATTCTTAAGCTTTTCTAGTGGGTATACTCTGTATACCCGAGTACCACGTAGACTCGGGCATACGGAGTATACCCACTAGAAAAGCTTTTCAGTATGCCCACTTAAAAGTGCCCAATGATGCATATCATTAGGCACATGTCATTGATATGTTAAACTCTTCCCTAACAATCTGTCTGTATGCAGTGCTTTGCTTTGATACTGTGATAAATTCTGTAGCATGTTTCTAATACAAAGCCAACTGTTGTACAAAGTTTGTTGTTCATATATTCAAATAGAAGCATCAGAGAAATTTGGAAATGTTCACTATGCTTAAAAATCAATAAATTGGCAATTACATTGTACTAACCAGTGTACTTTGGCTTCTAAGCACAGTAAACCCACTACAAATATGTAGACCACACCACTGATTTAGATCCTTACAAAGAAAAGTGTCAGATTTTGTGTTTTCTATTTCTTACTTTAGCACCCTGTCGGTCATCGCCTTCTCTCGGCTGGTCTCCGTGGCCAGGCGGTGCTTTTTGTCGTTGACTTGCTCCAAGCGAGCCGCCCTCAGCGTCGCTTCGTCGCGCGCCTTCTTCACAGCCAGCGCTCGCTCGTTCGTCCTCCATTTTCTCTCTGCGATGGCCTGGCTCCTGCGAGCACGGAGCTCGTCCTTCGGATCCAAGCGTTAGAAGTTGGAATTACAGAACTTTGTGTTTGTAGCGGTTGTAATAAGCCACGTTCAAGTCCAAGTCAACTTTATTGTTGTTTCCGCCACATGTGGTACATGAGGTGGAACGAAATGTACGCAGGGTCCCACTTAGCACCCCAAAATAGATAAATATAAAGTATAAAAGAAACAGTAAATAAGGATTTACGATATACAGACCCTTTTAAAAAAAATAGAATATCATGGAAAAGTTGTTTAACTTCCATAATTCCATTCAAAAAGTTGATCTTTAATAGATTATAAATTCAGGGCCCACAATTTAAGTATTTATTTGTTTATTTTTACATAATTTTGGCTTCCAGCTCATGAAACCCACGAAAACATGATTTCAAAAAATTAGAATACTGTGGAGAAATCAGCCCAAATGTTGCAGGACATGAATGTTTTAAATTGAGTGTGACACTAATTATCTACTGAACTCAAAGATCCTGCACAGGTTTCCCCAGGTGTCATTAAATTGCTTCAGTTTGGTTCAAGTGTCTCAGTTCGGTTCAATATGGAGAAGACCATCTGATACCCTCCATAGGATGGGTAAGGAGGCTGGCTGTTCACAGAGTGCTGTGTCCAAGCACATCAATGGAAAGTCTAGTGGAAGGGCAAAATGTGGCAGGAGAAGATGCACCAGCAAAAGAGATGACCGTGGGCTTCAGCAGATTATCAAACAGAGAAGATTCCAGAATCTGGCAGAGATCCAGAAATAGTGGAATGAGGCGGGAGTCACAGCTTCAAGCATCATCACATTCAGACGTATCCGGGAGATGGGCTACAACTGTTGGGTTCCTCGGTCCTCTTTTCCGATGAAAGTAAAGTGTGCCTTTCATTCAGGAATCAAGGTCCAAGGATTTGGAGGAAAAAGGGTGAGGAACAGAGCCCATACTGCTTGAGGTCCAGTGTGAAATATCCACAGTCAGTCGTGATTTGGGTGCAATGTCCGGTGCAGGTGTTGGTAAACTCTGCTTTCTTAAATCCAAGGTCACTGCAACAGTGTACCAGCATGCTTTAGAGGACTTCATGATTCCTTCTGCTGAGGATCTGAATGGAGATACAGATTTCATCTTCCAGAAGGACCTGGCCCCTGTCCATGCCACCAGAAGCACCAAAACCTGGTTTGATGCCCATGCCGCGGTGCTTGACAGGTCAGCCAACTTGCAGGACCTAAACCCCATTGAGAATCTATGGAGTGTTGTCAAGAGGAAAATGAGGGGCACCAGACCCAACAACAGAGAAGAGCTGACAGCATCAAGGAAGTCTGGGCTTCCATAACTCCCAGTCAGTGCCGCAGGCTGATCGTCTCAATGCAACGTCACATCGAGGCAGTGATTAAGGCAAAGGAATTCCCAACCAAGTATAGAAGACTGACATATCGTTTTGAAAGTACCATATTTTGATTGATTTGTTGTGATCCTAATTTCTTTATTTATTTTCTGCAAAAACTGAGTCGTGTGGGCTGATGTCTTCACAGTATTCTGATTTTTGAAATCCTGTTTTTGTGGGTTTCATGAACCGTTTGTCCAAATTATGTAAAAATAAACAAATACTTGAAATTGTTTAAATTGTGGGCCCTGAATCCATCATCTATTAAAGATTAACTTTTTAATGGAATTATAAAAGTTAAACAACTTTTCCATGATATTCTAATTTTTGTAAAGCGTCTGTACATTAAAATATACGCTAAACACTACTAACGTAATACAATATGACAACACCAGCAGCATGAACATGAGTCTCTGGTGAGCAGATGGGTATGAATGAATACAGCAGCATGAGGTAATCAGCAGCATGAGATAATCAGCAGCACAGATAAGTCGCATCACCATTTAAAGTGGCATTACAGTGATTTTTTTCTCAATGATTCTCCTGGTTAAGGATTTATGAGGCTGAGTTCCTGACCTGCTCTGCTTTGTAGTCTTTTGCTCTCTCTTGCTTAGCCCTCAGAGAAGCAATCTCCAGCTCCTTTTCCTTTTTGATCCGCGCCTGCTCTGCCTCATACTCCGCTTGTCGTTCCTGTCGTTCAAAGTGTCACAAAGCGTGGTTTGAAAAGCAGATCTCATAATAAACTCACCGTTTGCTTTTAAGCTGACCAGTTTTTTCTGCTGGAATTCTGCATCTCTCATGTCTGACAGCTTCTCCTCCTCTAGCTTCTTCTCTTTGGCCCTCGTCACCTCTGCGTTGATGCGCATGATCTCTTCCTGCAGAAGCTGCTGCTTCATCTTTTTGTCCTCCAGGGCCTAAAAAACACGCGGCTTTGAGCGAGGAAACTAAACGACAGGTGTGTTCTGCGTGCTTGCACGTCTTTCAGGATATCTTACAGTTAGAAGTCACACTACCTTAAGCTCTTCCAGGTTCTGTCTTTCCAGAGCCTCCTTCATGTTCTGTTTCTCTTGCTCTGTGATCTCATCCAGCAATAGTTTGCTCTTCAGACGTTCTTGGATCTGGTCGTAAATCTGCTGCTTTCCTCTGAAGTACAGCAGTTTTTAAAGCAGCATCTCTGTGAATATTTCTGTAAAAAATAATCTGCTTGCTCTTCCTACCGGACCCTCTCCTCTTTGCGCTGCTCATCAATCTTGTTGGTCATCTCCAAAGCCTTGCGGCGCTCCACCTCCATCAAGGTGTCGAGACGCTTCTCCTCCAAAGCCAGCTCCACCTCGATCTGCTTCTTCTCCTGGATCTGAGCGTCGCGGATGGCTTGACACTGAGCATCCAGAATCAGCTGAGAGGCAAAAAAACAAAGTTTTAATCTTCAGGTTTATTTATTTATTTATTTATTTTTTTATCGCCTGACCCTGAAAGGCAGAAGACAAACAACGTGGTGTTGTTTCTGCAAAGTGAAGCTCGAATCACTGGTCAGGTGAACTTTTGAAGTCAACCTGACTCGAGATGGCTACCACAAGCTACTGAGCTCGAACAAACACAACGATGGTTGTAGCTCGGTCAGTTTTACAGACGCTTGGCTAGAACTTGGCAGGATCCTATCCGAGCATCATCCCCAACACGTGTGATCTGAAAACTTCACACTGCTTGAGATCTTTGAGTAAAAATTAGTCATGAATTGTTGGAGCTGCTTGTTAGAAAACATCTGATCCGTTGGACACATTTAAAACGTTTGCTCCCACCCGGTTGAGCATTTTGATTTCATCCTCTTGCTCCATCCTTAAAGCTTTGGCCCGCCCCAGCATGCGCTGAGCGCGATCATGGGCCTCCAGCTCCAGGTCGGTGAGCGGCTGGTTCTTTTTACGGGACAAATCTGCCTCCTGGATTTTACTCTTTCTGGCTTCCGCTGCTTTCTAAAATAGAAGTTTAAAAAGTAAAAGTTGTAAAAAAACATTATTAACCCAGTTTTTGTTTCAGCAGTTTAACCCACCATCTTCTCCTCTTTCTCTCTCCAACGCTCCTGCTTCAAGGCTTCTGTGTCCGAGCTGAGATATGAAGTGATCCTTCTGAACGAAGCTGCTGGAAGGACAAGGAACTCTCTCGTAGCGTCTTTCCGTGGAATCCTGGCAGAATAACGAGTGACGGCTTTCAGTACAGCGTCATACCTGTTCTGAAAACACTTCTCTGTATATTTAACATTTATCCTGACAGCGTCATGTCACTGTTTAACATGACAAAAGATAAAACCTTATTTAGCCCACAGTGGGAAAATTCAGAGAACACAGCAGCAACAAGACGAGAACAGAAAACAAACTATTTGCAAACTGTAAAAAAAATAAATAAATTACATAATATACATTTATATATATATATATATAAGTTTGACACATCCAATAAATTTCATTCCACTTCACGATTGTGTCCCACTTGTTGATTCTTCACAAAAAAATTAAAATTTTATATCTTTGTTTGAAGCCTGAAATGTGGCAAAAGGTTGAAAAGTTCAAGGGGGCCAAATACTTTCGCAAGGCACTGTATAAATATATGCACACACTTAGGTGTATAATAGAGTGACTGTTTATGAAGCTTTCACACTATTGTGATCTATTTTTCTTCTGTACGTTTTTCAGCATCTTTTTTGTTCCAGTTTTTCAGCTATTTCAAACAAATCGTATCAAAACGTTCAGCTCTTTCAGGGCAATCTTGCTATGACTGTTGGTAAAGGTACAACTTTAGCTTTTTGAAAGATTTAGCCTTTTCTGCCATTTTTTCCCTCATAGAAAATGAATTGAGCTCATTTTACATCCTTCAAATCTTTAGTAACCTTTTGCTGCTACTTTCACATTATGTTCTGGTTCAGCTTCCTTGTGTGAATTTAAACCTTTTTTTTCTGCTAATTGCGGTTTTGGGGCTGTTTTGTGCTGCTTTCACATTTGTCCTAATTTCAGCTGGTTATGCTCCTTTCTGCTCATTTATTCACGTTTCAGCTTTTTTCTTCTCTTTCAGCTACAGCTGATTTTATGCTCATTTTAGCATTTTCAGCTAATTCCACATTTTTTGCACTCATTTAAACTTTTTTCAGCCTAATTCAGCAAAATGTACTCTCTCCACTTCTTTCTGGTAATATAAGCTTCTTTCTGCCTTTTTTAGCTACTTTAGTTATTTATGCTTATTTATGCTAATTTCAGCATATTATGCTCCTTTCAGCTAGTTTCTGCTAGTTTCAGCTTTTTCTGCTCTTTCAGCTACTATTTAGCTTTTTTATGCTGTTTTTTAGCTTTTTCAGGTAATTCTACATTTTTAGCTCATTTCAGCTCTTTCCACTTAATTCTAATAGTTAAAGCTTATTTCTGCCTTTTCAGCTATTGTCAGCTTCTTTTTTTGTTGTTGCTCATTTCAGCTTTTTTTTAAACTAATTTCCAAATTTTTGTGCTCACTTCTGTTCATTTAAACCTAATTCAGCAAATGTGTTCTTTCTGCTTTCTTCTGCTAAATGATGCTTGTTCTTCCATTTCAGTTACATTTCAGCATGGCTTTTAGCCTGTTTTAGCTGTTCTTCAGCACGATCTTCTACAATAAGCATTTACACTGCATTTTTGCGGTAAATGCAATTTCTCTAGTTTTCATGTATGTTTGTTTCTTTGTTTGTTTGTGAACTCATCACAGATAATTTAAACCATCAAATAAATGTGCGTAGTCAGGAAGTGTTGTCTGACCTGAGAGTACGGATCAAGTCTTTCGTGATGATCTGAATGGTCTCTTGGTTGTTTGTCTGAGACAGATCCACTGGTGGAGCGTCCAGCTGTGGAAATATGAGAACAAAGTGTTAAACGATAAAAACAGAAGAAGATAAAAGGCCGAGTTGTCTTTTTATTTTTTTAAATAGATGTCAAGATTCTGTCTTTATAAAATTTGGGGCTGTTTAAAAATAAATTACATGTAATGTACTAAAAAAAGAACAGACAACCATGAGGTGGAACATTTCTGTATTTTAATTAAATAAAAAGTATTTCTATTTCCTTGGCCCCCTACATGTGAGAACATCATTTAAGCCCAGTTTATGATGCATTTTTATTTCTTGTGAAATGGCCAGTAGTGCCAATTAATGTTTCTGAGTCCAGGTCTCACCGTGGAGATTTTTGGGGGTATCACTGCAGTGGTGTGAAATACTCCTCACGTGGGAAATCACACGTGCGCAGTAGGCGTCTGCAGTCGGACGTATTTCTGCAGCAACAACGGTAAAAGGTTTGAATCGTGTTGTTGGCGCTCGCTCTTTTTCAACAGGCAGGAGCAAACCAACAACATCCTCCATCCAAACGTGTCCACCAGTGATAACGCTGACGCTGCATGCTGCTTCAGTGATGCCCAATAAATAAAAATAAGGCGTTTTTGCTTCTCTTCTGTGCACGTTCGCCAAACACACCTCGTCTCACAACACCCTCAGCACATTGAGCTTTGTGCAGTTACCAATGAGCCAGTCAGTATTTCACATGTTCATAGTGTGTTTCAGCTGCCGTCATTCAGACACCTGGCAACACTGCAGGTCATGCTCACAATGTAAAATACCAATAAAACTTTTCCTTTTTTACACCTCATTTTTTATTGACTGTTATTCAATTCAATTCAATTCAATTCAAAAATACTTTATTAATCCCAGAGGGAAATTATTTGTTTTGCAACTGTTGTTGGTGGTGTCCCTGAAAAGGACGTCAAGGACAGGGACACCACCAAGTCATTGGTTCAGGTATGTTGACGACACCTGGGTTAAAATCAAATCTCAGGAAGTCCAACATTTTACTGACCACATCAACTCTGTGGATAAATACATCAAGTTCACACGAGACGATGTAAAAAATGGCAAGTTGGCTTTCTTGGACTGTGAGGTCTCAGTCTCCGATAGAGGACATTTGCAAACCGAGGTGTACCACAAACCCACCCACACAGACCAGTATTTGCAGTTTGACTCCTATCACCCTTTGGAGCACAAGTTAGGAGTCATCAGGACTCTGTATCACAGAGCAGACAGCGTCCCCACTAGCTCAGGAGCCAGGCAGAAGGAGAAATCCCACACAAGACAGACTCTAGAGCAATGTGGATATCCTAACTGGGCCTTCCTGAAAGCAGAGAAGAAACCCAAACAGGACTCCAGTCAGCCATCAGGTGAAAAGGAGGAACCCAGACCCAGACCAGTGGTCATTCCATATGTTGAGGGAGTATCAGAGAAACTGAGACGTTTATTTTCTAAACATAACATCCCAGTGGCTTTTAAACCCCAAAATACATTACGGCAAAGACTGGTTCATCCCAAAGATCCAGTCCCCCGGCACAAACAGAGCAATGTTGTGTATGCTGTTCAGTGTCAGGAGGGCTGTGATCAGTCTTACATCGGGGAAACTAAACAGCCACTGGCCAAAAGGATGGCCCAGCACAGAAGATCAACATCATCAGGCCAGGACTCTGCGGTCTACACTCATCTCCAGGCCAGCAGTCACTCTTTCAGGGATGAAGATGTTCACATCCTGGACAGAGAGGAACGATGGTTTGAGAGAGGAGTAAAGGAGGCCATCTTTGTGAAAAGAAATCGTCCATCATTAAACAGGGGTGGAGGCCTCCGGGTTCAACTGTCCCCCTCTTACAATGCTGTGATTGCTAGTATCACTCAGCCCTCTGTGAACAGTAAACAGCCATCAGGTGCTAATGATCCATTGTTAGGCTGATGGTCCTTCTTGAGCATGTGATCAGCTGGTTCTGGTTGTCAGCAGCAAACTGGTTGATCCACCCTGAGAAGGTGCTATTTAAGAGACTGAGCTGAATACAGCACCTCAGACTGAGGAAGTCTCTCGGATGAGAGACGAAACGTTTCTACATTTTTTTGTTGTTTTGTTTTGTTTTTTTGAATGTCCAGAGGACCAGATTTAACTTTTTTAGATTTTTCTACCTGGATTATTGAGCATGCATCAGGATATTCAGAAGTATATGTTTCCTTGTGGATTAACGTTTTAAAAAAGGCTGATCTTTGACCACCATTGGGCTCCCAAACAGAATTGTGTGTACCTGAGACCCGGGGACCAACATTCGGTTCCTGCTCGGACGAGTTCTGGACCCGGAGGGAGCGGAGCTGGACTCGGGGTTCTGCGGGAATCGGTCAGATTAATGTCAGAGTCGCTGAGAGTAGTTTTTTATGTAAATAAGAAGGTTAACTTACCGCCATGTTCGTAGCTTTCCAAATAAATCTTCTTAAATGTGTTGTTGGTGGGTTTCAAACACCAACAATACAAACAATAAACTCGTAGTGTGACGTTTATGTTATTCTGCTGGACTTCGATAAGGGCCTCGGTCACGTTTCCTTGTTGTCTGTTGCCATGGGAACGGGGCGCAACGTACATTCATTCAACCTTTATTTAGATAGAAAATTACGATTTAATATTGCTGTTTTTTAATTTTTATTTCATTTTCCACCGTAGCTTAACCCACAGCACGCTACAAACTGCTCACTAATGTTCACTCTGTGTAAAGTGTGTAAATAACGCGAGTCAACATCCGGTGACGCAGCTCAGGTGTTGTGCCGAAAAAAGCGCCCCTGCCGTTAGGAGTTCTTCCGTTCTGGAACACGAGCTCCTTAAACAGTGATTTATTTTTATTTTTATTGATATTAAAAAGGTTGACAAAACAGCAAAATCATTATAATTGTAGAACAAAATAAACAACACAATAATGCCAGGGGGTTATAGAGCGAGCACAGATCTTAAACAGTGATCTAATTTAGACTATGCGTGGAGAAACGGTGATTTGTTTTCCAGCATGTATTATTGCTACTAAAGCAAAAGAAACACACTTTAAAATTATGACTGACATTTATCCGTCCAAGGAATTACTGAGAAAAGTCTTTATAGGTGACAACACGTGCACATTCTGCGATAGTGATATTGAAACAACTGACCACCTGTTCTTTTTCTGTGCAGCTATAAGAACAAGACAATTACAGATATAGTTTAACAGTAATTTTCCATCATCACTTATTTCTCTTTGTAGAGATGACATGTTTTTTTT